AGACAGGGTGGCCCCTTCACCTCTTTGACTCTGTCTCTTTTGCTTCTGTCCATGTTGTACTTCACCACCATTGGACTGAAGCAACAGGGCAGGCTGAAACTTCAAAGCTTTACAAAATAGAAAAACCAAGAGACTGTCTCTTAACACAAATAGAAATGTTGAAGAAGTCTAAAAGGTTCTGGGCAGGAGACAATGAGTATAAAGCCAGAAAATCTCCATGGATAACAGTCACTTCAAAGTACAAGACTGTGAGAAAAATACCCCTTTCCTTGACACATACCTCTTGGTTATGGAAATTCATGGATGAAATAAAGTAAACCCAAGTAAGGAAGATATAGTTCAGTAGGTGTTTTTCTAGCAAACCCAAATTTCTGAGTTCAGTACCCAGTACTGAATAAAGGTGTGGTGGCACAGGCCTGTAATTCTAGAAGCTGAAAGGTGGAGGCAAAGGACCAGAAGTTCAAGATTACCTTTAGCTGCATGATGAGTTCAAGACTAGCCTAAGATACATGAGACCCTGTCTCAAAAACAATTTAAAAAATATTAAGACATTTTGCTGTTGATTTTTTTTTGTCTTGATTCTTAGAGAAGAAGAAGACTAGGAGACCTAACAGGGAACAGGAATGTCCTATGCATTAGTTAGATTTGAAGTGAAACCCTGCCTTCTTATTTCCAACTTCATATTATATGAGTGGCTTGTACCCAGAAGATGACATGTCACACTTCTCCTGGCTGCAGGCTGCCAGCTAAGATTCCATCACTGCCACAGCCTCCTGCATCTTCCCGAGGAGTTATTGACAGGACTGATAACTACATCTGAGGATGCTGGTCTGTGGGGCTTTCATCAGACTCATTCTTGACTCACCATTTTCCCTGAAGGATGAAATAGTAGAGCTACTGAAAAAGACCACACGCAAAGGAAGATGGGCTAAACAAAAATGCTTTTGTCCTTGACTACCGAGCTCCTCAGAGCCCTTTATGTCTTGATTTAATCTGTTGGCTATAAACATTGCTCTTAGATCCTGCTCTGAACCATAATGGGTGATACTTCCCATATTCCTTCCTCAACAAGGCCTCATCCTGTAAAGGATATTGACAGCTACAATTTATATTCCCATGTCAGATCCTAGAAGGCCGTCATGCTTTCTGCAGCACAGACCCTCATCAATTGCCCCAACACTTCACTGGTTCCCACCAATGACTTCTGAAAGGACCCTTCTCTATTCTATTTTCAAGACTAGCAATTGTAACTGCTTCCAGCAGTTGTCAACTTCTGGAAATGCCCCATCACCTGTTCAGCTTCTGAGCTTGTGAAGGTATATATTGATTGTCAACTTGACAGGCTCTGGAGTCACCTTGGAGACAAATCAATGGGCATGTCTTTGAGGGAATGTCTGGATTAGGTTATTTGGCATAGGAAGACCCAATTTAAATAGCTTGCACTATTGCATGGTGCCAGACTGAATAAAAAAGGAGGAAGCAAGCTGAGCCCCAGCATCCATCTCCATCTGCTTCCTGACTGCAGGTGCCATGTGACCAGCCTCTCCACACTCCTGTTGCCATGCCTTCACACCATGACAGACCACACCCTCAAACTGTGAGCTGAAATAAATCCTCCCTTTTCTGGATGCTTCTGTTGGATAGTTTGTCACAGCAACAAGGAAAATAACTAACACAGCTGTTCTATCTTCATACACAATTTCCTACCAAATTCCTTGCGCTGGGATGCCTGGCATATTCTCATCTATTAACCAAGAGCACATCTTATGATGCCAACTTGATACAGCCTTTTATATTCCATTATATTTTTTTTCTACCAGGGACTGGCAAACTGTGGGCATTGGGCCCAAAGCCTGCTTTTGTAAATAATATTCTCAGACTTCAGACATCCTCAATCACTTAAGCACTGCATTCCCCACAGTTGGTTTGTGCTATAGGGATGGTATTGAGTAATGGCAACAGAAACTTCACAGTTCACAAACTCAAGGATGCTTCCAGCTGGCTTTTTGCAGGATGTGTTTGCTGACTTCCACACTAAATCAAATAAAGCCCTCAATCCAGACCACCCTGTCCCTTTGACCACTGTAGTGTAGACAGCATTGCCCAAGGGAAATATGGACTGTGAAGCTTAACATTTTCTAGTCATTAGAGTAAAAGGAAACCAGCAAAATCAACTGTAGTAAACTAGCTGAAAAAGAATGTCACTGGGTTATCCATGTTAAAAACAATTGAGTGATTTTTGCACTGTTTTCAAATCCCAGTGTGAACTTCACCCTGACAACAAAATCTTATTTAAAATTCTAAATTTTTAGTGCGGATACTATATTTCTATGTGGGTTTTATAAAATCGACTCCCAGAAAGGTAGATTCACACTATTCATCTACCAGAATGAATAAAAGCAAACTGATAAAACTAAATTTTAGAGAAGCAGAGAAACTAGTTTATCCATGCATTAACAGTGAGGATACAACATGGGGATAACCAATCTGAAGAAGGTGTCTGTTAGAACTAAAATTTCTGTCACTGTAGGATTCAGCAACTTTACCCTTGAGTATTTATGCCAATTAAATAGAGTATTGGTTTACACACACACACACACACACACACACACACACACACGCACACACGCGTGCATGCACACAGATGCCCATGTAAGATCAACCACAAACTGGAAAAACAAAAAAATATACAAGGTTTCCAGCAAATAAATAGGTAACAGATGATGGTCCAAACACAGCGTGGGATTTCACTCAGCAATGAAAAAGAACCGAATACATGTGGTCCTGGACACATCACAATCCATCAGGCAGGAAGACAGTTTGGTGAGTAAAGAAAGTCTGAGTTCTGGTCTGAAGCACCCATCTAAAAATCTGAGTGCGCCTGAAAACTCAGTGCTGGGAGTAGTGGGGTGCAGTGGGCAGAGACAGGGGGATCCCTGTAACTTGCTGATCAACCACTATAGCCCATCAGCAAGCTCCAGGCTACATGGGAGAGATGTGTGTATGTCTGTGGGTATGCATGTGCCACAGAATACACCAACGAAGGTCCAAGGACAACTGCAGAGGTCAGTTCTTTCCTTCTCCCGTGTGGAACCGGGGATCAAACTTGGGCTGTCATTTAGGGGAAATTCCTTTATCTACTTTGTCATCTGACTGGTCCACTTTGGGTCATTTCCTACAACTGCACCCGAATCTACAAAATGAAGTTCAATTTTAAGAAATAGACTCCTATAGTCTCTGATAAAAGAACATTATCTAACAGGTGACTAACATGCAAGTTTTCACACCTAAGCTAATTAAATCTCAATTAAAAATTAAAACCCTTTACTCCTTGATGATACCAACAAAATTCCAAGTATCAGAGCCCACCAGAGGCTGCTGGGCAAATCATTGGGCAGACAGCTAGAAGCCTTTACCCAAATGGCTAAAAATATAGCTAAATTTGAGTCATTGGGATGATGGCTTCACAAAACTACTTCCAGAAAGCCCACTTCTGCAACAACACACATTGCCAGTCTAATAATGCTGTAATTCCAAAAAAGGTAATGAAGCCTCTGAGGTATTAAGAACTAACCAGTTGTGACAAACTGTTTATAGAAATGCATTGTTCTCTCTAGACTGCTCCTCAGTCAGCTAACATGCAGCTGTCTCTGGGTAAAGATACACATGTCTCCCTCAAATTCTCTTCTTAAAAAAGAAAAATGTCTGAAATGAAGGTGAATTATTTCAGATTACCATGTTTCCTTCTTCTGCACGAGTGGTGCCATGTAGCATGATAATGAGTGGTGATGACAATCATTCACGTGACGACGGGTGCTGCTCTTTGACAACTTGACAAATGAAACCAAGCTGAGGCAGACGCCCCAGAAACAAAGTGCTCAGGGCTCCTCTGCATGCCTGGCTGCCTGCCATGGGGAGGGGTCACTGGAGGCAGATGGGGAGGGAGGCCTGGGGTCTGGAGCACGGGGGAAGGAACTGCAGGGTCCAGAGGTTCCTGCTGTTCTTGGTGACTGTTGTGATTAGCATCCCAGCAAGGGGCAGGATATCCCTATCCCTGCCCAGTGTAACTTGTTAGGCACATTTGCTGCCACTGGAGTGAGGTGAGTTCCTTCAAATGCACAAAAATGGGATCAGATTTGAGAAAACAAGAAGGGATAACTGGAAAGGGGTTAGAGCAGAGGAACTGGTCTAGAAGGAAATCTCTACCCCTCAGTCTGTCAAAGGCCCTCTACCACCTGGCTTCCTTTATCTCTGGACTTTGTGAGATTGCTACTCTCAAGCTGGAACACCGTTTGTATCACCCATGAACTCTTGCTCCTGCTATCCCCTCCTGCCTAGTGCCCAGGTACCATCTGCTTTAACCAGAGTCTTGAAAACTGAACCCAACTGTAAGTGTTTCATACTTTGGGCTGTATTTCCACACTCGTGATAAAAAGTTGTCATTTGTTGTACAACTGTATGTTCCTAGTGCTACACCTGGCGTCTTCATGATCCCTACGTAATCCGTACAAACCTCAGGCAGGAATTATCACATCTGTTTATAGATAGGTAAACTCAAGACCAGAGCCGTGACACAGCTCAAATGAGGTTGCCCACCTGGAGCTATCAGGGTCAGTATCCAAACACTTTTTTTTTTCTGTCACCAAAACCTGTGCTTCTAGAGACTACAATAGTCTTAATCTGGGGCATAATCATTTAGTCAAACAACATTTAAGGAGAGTCTATATGGATGCCAGTCAATAAGCTATATTCTAAGGCCCAATAATTAAAATGATTCTTACAATATAATAATATAGGAATATTAAGTAAAGAAATATACAAAGAGTTTAAGGCTTCTCAAAGACAACGTATTACAGCAGGTTTGCAGGGTATATGGAAGTTTCTTAGGTCAACTCAAAGGTATAGCATTATATATGTCCATGGAGTGTTCACAATTCTTTAGCAGCATTCTAGAAGCATCGCCAAGAACAGGGTAGGAGGTTACCTTTGTCAAGTGCGGGCTAGAAGCTATTGAAGGTTACTTGAAGCCACAGAAGGACTTCAAAGTGGAAGATGATTAGATCATGTGAGTCTCTCTTTTCATTTACTCAAGTACACCTTGAGTACCAAGCATTGTGTTGAAACTGGAAACACAAATAAGAGTTTTCAGTTGAATGATGGGGAAAACCAAAGAAATCAACTACTATTACAGAAAACTACCGTACCTCTTAGCAGAGTGTGATAAAGAATGGGTCAGGGAGCTGGGAGCACTATTTGAAATGGGAGGAAGGGGAAGGGGTGGGTGTTAGGAGAGAGGGAGCTGGTGTCCCTGGAAAATACACAGAGAGGGATGGGTACATTCTAACCGTGAAGAGAAGGTATTTGAGGATTCTTTTAAAGCAAGTGATTAAAGTATTCTGTGCCTTGCTGGAATGAGGCTGGGTACAACAAGAATCATAATTGGGACTCTGTGAATCTTTAGATAACTGAGTTTCCAGTAATGCCCAGAAATTGGAAAAAAGGAAAAAAAAACATAGTAAATTTGTGAAGGAAAGAATCTGAATTCAGTTTTAGAAAGACTGAGAGGAAACTGTGAAAAATTCAAGGAAAGTTGTACAGATGGAAAATACTGGGTATAGATTCCAGCACATAGGGATGATGTCCTTCTTTTTATTTTTTTCAAGGCTAATGATTATTTACTCAGTAATGTTCAATGCTCAAGAGACTGATTATAAAAATAGCATGTACTTTACTTCAAGTATAGCTTCCTAAGGTAACTCTTCTGTGTTTGCCTTCTTATTCCACAGGTGCCCTGAAGCGTGCAAATCGAATCCTCTGCAAACCAGTCCAATGGCTTTATCCAGAGCTCTATGCTGTGTGATGATAGTATCCTTAGAGAATGAAGGAATATTTATTATCCTTATTCTTTTACAGGGGTTTTGATGATCTGAGGGAGATGTATGATTTCACAAATGATCTCAGTTTATTCTTGGGACTTGCACGCTCATAGAGGTTTCTTTGCCTTTGATCAGCTATGGTCTTTGTAATCTTATTACTAACAGGTAAAGCATCGTTTTGAAGCCATCATTTATTTTATTCTGAGACTGAAGCATTAATAAGAAGTAAGTACACTTTCTGACCTTATGAATTGCAGAAAAATATAATAACTCTTGAGTGGTGTTACAGAGGAATTGGTTTCAATATTATGAAAAGTTAACAAGCTTAAAATTTTATCTGTGTTATTTTTGAATTTAATAATAATCTAAAATAAGACTTAGATACACTGAATTTTCATTATATTTAAAGATATGTGTGTGTGTGTGTGTGTGTGTGTGTGTGTGTGTGTGTGTAATTTTTAAAAAAGAGAATTGAAGGTCTACTTTCAGCAACAGCCATCTACATCTAAAGATAGAGAGAAAGATCAGAGTTCTGACCCATGAAAGGAAGGCATTGCCACTGAAGAAACTGGAAATAAGACACAAAGCATGTTTCCTTAGGCCTGACAGACGCTGGTAACAGCTCTTGCCCTGTCGGGACATGTGGAAATTTAATAGTGCAAGCTAAGATACAGTGTTAACTCTGAACTCAAATGCCCCAAATTGGAAGAAGAAAGGATTTGGAGATTCCTGATGAGATCTTTAAAAGTTAGAGAGTGGCTTTGTGCAACTCTTTAAAGTCGAATTTTAAAAATCATGTAAGTATTGTTCAGGGTGAGACACCACTTATTACAGCTTAGAGAAAGGAGGGTGAGGCCTGAGAGACTAACAAAGCTTGTTTGAATGACAGTCCACAGGAAAGCCTGAGAATTAACTCCTTGACAAGCTGTTTTATATGTTCAGATTTGCCCCTCTATTGTTCTTCTGCCACTGAGAAAATGACATCCCCCACAGTGACTACATAAAAACCAGGTCATCAGACCCTACCTACAAGCTCTTGCCTGCTTTGCATGGACCAAACTCCCCTGCTGTCCACCTGGCTAGTGTCAACAGTCCTTTATCTGAATGTCATGAGCTATTTGCCATGCTTCCAATCTCTCCACTCTTCACAGGAGTCCTTCTTTCCACTCCAACTCTATCTTCAACTCCAATCCCATTTTTCATTTTCACAGTTGTTGCCTATTTCTAGTTAAGAATAATAATTGCATATTATGGCTCCATGATCTTTCACCCACAATACCAGGGGACAC